AATGATCCATACGTGTTGCGAAGAAGCCATGCCCGAGTTACCCTCAGTCGAATCAGCTCTCGTTGATTTTCTTCCTGTAAGTCAATCTGAGTTTGATATGGATGTCCTAAATCAAAACCTTGTCTCCACGCCGGTCTAACGGGCATAGAGAGTACTGGTCATAATTCCGAGTCCAATGCGGTGATTGGATCTCCATATCTTCTTCTTCTTGCATCCACCGGTTGGTTGTTTTTGGAGTGAACAACTGTTACATCCAAGCGATCCATTGAATACACAAATTGTAGCATTTCATCAACAGTAAACTCTGCTGGATGTCGATTCTGCGCTGGCTCCTTCCCTTTATCTTCCAGTAGTATTGGATGCTCTTCAATGCCATCTACATCAGAATCTACCTCGTTATGGACTTGTTCCACCTCTTCCTCTTGTCTTTTGTCAGCAGATCTGAGAGTGTGTACCAGGGGAGGTAGGTTGCATATTGCATTTTGATCTCTTTTCATAACCTTTACTGTTGGGTCTGATTCGGAATCACCCTCTGATCCTACTTCCGATTCGAGTGCATGGCGTACTTCCTCCGCTGCTCCGGATGTATCTGAAGGAGTTGAAGCGGCTGTAGATCCCTTTCTTGATTTGACATTCTTTGTGGCTTTCACTTTTGCTGTAGCCGCGCTACTGCCTAAAGCCCCTACGCCTGAGTCAGTCAGTTTCTTACGTTTCCGTCTTGAAGGAACTGCCACGGTATGCGTCAGTGTTACTTCCGCTGTCGCTGCACCCGCAGCTAGTGCAGGAGTGTCTGTCGGCTTCGCGATTCCCACCGTAAATCCTTTTAATTTTGTGGACTTATCCTTCGTTTTTGTCATAGTGTCGATAGCGTATTTTAAACATAAAAAATATATAAAATCGGTATCTTCTAGGCCGACTATACGATACAAAAACGTTTACGTTAAATGAGAAAATACGTTGTTAAAAAAGGTTAGATTCAGCCCTCGGTAGTGAGCTAAAAGATTAGGGGAATTTAGACTGAGACTATGCCATTATACTCAGCTCTAATCACTCAATACGTCGGTCTAGATTTATATATGTTTTAGTTACTAAGATCAGATACTATTCCATTGGACGCATAAAACTATAATTCACGCCTCGAAACAATCATCCATTCGAAATAACTAATGAAATAACTCCAAGTTAAAAACGAAAATCAAAACACCAGGCTGGTGCAGTATACATTTGCACCTGAACCCCATCACTTGGTACCTAGCTCCCCATTCTATTTTAAGGCATAGACGGGCATATATAGTTGGCTGGCTAGGAGGAGTCAGGATCATGTTGTCCTATAAACGTTCAAACAACGATACGTTTATATTATACGATAACATGTGCTTCTACTATATGGAACCCGCTATTTTTACAACTACACTAACTTTGCAATTATAACGGACGATTAGGAATCTGATGGTGGACTTCGATGTTCGATGATATTTTGATGACTCAATCAGCGCATCGGACAGTTACAATTAAACAGTGAAAGAAGTAATACATACGTGAAAGTGACTTGAAACTAAATAAAAGAAGTGTCCCTTTGTGATGCACACGGTCATGTACTGGGAAGAAGGCATCGGTGCAAACGATTGGTGTTGACTGTGAGAAGCAACAGCGTTTGATCAATTGGCCCGTTTTCCGGTACCAGAGAGACTTTGCGTCGGCACTTAGGCTTATTAACCTTTTTTCATAAGCATTTACTAACTTTGCTCATACGATAGCATCTCTTTGTTTCATTTATTGGTTGAGACCTAAGGAGTTGGTTGCGAATTGTTGGATATCAGTTATTGGAAAAAAGCAGTACAAAACGTATTCTTCTCGAAGACATTGAATAAGGATCTGCAAAAATATGACACAACATTCATTAAGGAGTAACTGGTGTTGACCTATGCACTGGAACACTTTTTATCTCATGGGAAGGAGGTTCAGGGTACAGATAGACCATAAGGCTTTGGTATAAGTGAGTACACAACTCAAACTCAATAACATGCATCAACGGTCACATCATATCATTGTCAAATTCAATTTTACAATCACTCATGTATATGCCTGTAGAATTTATTAACTTTCCGAATAAGTAGGGCTGCGATCATGAAGATACAACACGCATTAATTTCTCCACGGATTTCTACACATCCTGTTGAAGCAGCACACTGACTTCTTTGACCATGTTCAAACACACTTTGGGGCTGACGATGTCGACGTGTTTGCATCTAATCACACCGTCCAGTTGGAACAGTAATGTAGTAAATAAAACATGGACGAATCTACCTTCACAGCGGCTTATACAACAAATATCGCGTACGGTAATGGCTGGTGAAGTGTTGGCCACCATCTGCCTGCCGTTGAACATCAGAGCGCCTTGATTTTTCTCCCTCTGTTCTATCATGCAAACGGAACCATTGTTGAAATACCCCGTACGCCTTTTACACTTTTGAAACAAAGCATACAAGCGTGTAGGAAGTAGCCTTGGAATTTAACAGCATATTCTAGTTCACATTTGGTCTTCGTCAGACTACAGAGTAAAGTCGGTATTTTGAACTAACCTTGGGCCATGTAATCTTCTTCTTCCAGCTTTTACATGTGAGCGCAGCTATAGGTTTATCTAGGCAAAATATGTCTTTGCTGCAAGCGCAGCTATAGCCTTATTGAGACAAAATGTATCTTATTTTGCTTTGTAACGCTCGATGGATTGCCTTAGTGAATAATTTCTCTCTAACTTCGATTTCGATTTCAAGTGAATGGATGATTGTCATATTTACCCTTGTAGTAAATTGTGAAATAGATGAATGACTGAACTAACAAATCATACACAACAGTTCTAGCTCCCATCACCATCACAAGATTCAAACTCGTGACTTCTGGTTTTGTAGTGTAGTAGATGATTGACTGAGCCAATCAACATAGTACTAGATTCGTTAGTTTAGTCCTTCACCTTATTTTTAATTATAAAGTTTGTGTGTGATTCACTGTATTATTAGGGGTTTTCATCATATTTACTGCTTGCTCTCGGGTGATTGCCTTTTTGAGTGAATATATTAGTGGTGTGGGTTTCTCCAGCAAGGGTTTGCCAATTCTAATCCGCGCGGCATGCTTTGGTTCGGCCAATTTCTTTTACGTTTCGCTACGTAACTTCAGTATGTAACCACTTGTTAATATTGCTAGCCTTCAACTCGACTAACTTAATCCTCATTTATTGGCATCATGGTTCGTCACTCATAACAGTAATAAATGTCAATACGTCTTAATCGCGGTTCAATTTGACAAGCCATCGATTCCAAGGGTTGCTAGCTGTGTGATCAGCCGAGTACTAACTGACTGTGCATATTCCCATAGTGCCGAATACACCGCGAACGAATAAAATGTGCTGAAAACGTACAAGTAAAACGATTAAGAAGTAGTAATGAATTCTGATAGTGTTTGTACTATATATATAACATACACACAATTGCACGTATATATCATAAAGTTAGGCGCAAGTAGTCAATATATTGTACTCTGTTTTTGCCTTGTGTGTTTCAAAATCATGTTCTCTTTACCTGTCGCCACTTTTCAAAATAGTGGTTAAGAATAGATTGTCATGGTCTCCTTCATTGTCATCATGATCATTACTGAAATGGAAAGCTATTTATGTGTTTTTCTATCGCTTGTCGCTACTTTCAAAAAGAATGGCCAAAAATAGCTGTGGTCTCCTTCGTGGTCATCACTTTGTATTGTAAAAAAAAAGACAAACAAACAAACAAACGAACGGCCAAAATGCATTGCCCTCTCTAGAAGTTGTCGCTGGATCAAAATGAATTCCCCAGGACAGGCCCCTTGACTCTTTTTTTGGTTGTTATATTTATAGTAAAAATTTTAGCGCCTCGATCTATTGGCTGATAGCCAATACACCCATATACTGGTACAAACATCCAACTAGCTAAAGTACGTTACGACCATGCGTACATGCTATTTTGTTTTAGGGGTTTAGGGTTTTACTAAAACCCTAAACCCTAAATTGCTAGTAGTTACTTGTATTGCTATTATATGACATTATTGATAGTATAATATAATTAAACTGTGGATGGACTCTTACAACTAACCTAGAGCATTTTCAATGTCATGCGGTTGCGTGGTGAGAGAGAGAATCTTTCAGGAAAGAAAAGCGTGTAAGTTGAGTTATTGTATTCGTTATGTAGCTGTTGTATACACAGTGCTGTATTTTTATGTGTGTGAACGCAGTATTAGTACATTATTAGCGCGCGTGTGTGTGTGTATTACGTGTGTATATGTGACGTGTACACTTAAACAATTACTTAAAGTATAGATATATTTTTATTAGTGATGCAAAGGCATCACTTGAATTGATGCATCCATTATTGATGCATCAATATCAATACTATAGTGTGTGTAAGTGTGTATGGTGTGCGTGTGTGGTGTGTGTATTGTATGTGTGTATGTGAGTATATGTATAGTGTGTGCGTAAGTAAATACATATAGAAATAAAGATTGTTCGTATTTGTGATTGTGTGTATACTGACGTATGAACAACATGTACTATAGGTGTATTCGGAGAAAGATATCAGGCAACGTCGCCCGTTCCAGTGGCGGCGGCTGCTGCTTCAGAGCGAGCATCGGCAGCATTCTCATCATCGTTGTAGAAACATATGACGGGATTCAGCTTGATAGCGGTTAAAAACAGATGCTTTTTGAATGATACTGTCGAATCGGGGTGGTAAGTAATTCCTCGAGCATGTAATTGACAGCCTATGCGGGTATCATTAGCATCGATGACTTCTCCCCATGGATAAACTAAGCGTCGCGCCTCGTTCACCTTGACCCATAAGTTGACTACAATTGACCATTTCGTCGTGACTAAGTTCCACGTCTTAGATTCCCGTACAAGCATGTCCTTCTTTATGTCAACAGTGGCGTGAATAGTAGCATTAGCTGTAGTATCTGCACCCTGCACTAAATTGTATAGTACTTGTTGTGCTTTGATTCTAGCGGTGGAGAGCTAAGATGCCTTCATTGACCTTCGTGTTTTGTGCATTGAAATCATGAGCTTGATCATATTGTTTGCTGTTATGATAGACAGTGTACGAAGTACCGGTTTGTACAAGTAAGATTTTTGATCATGACCACATGCACATACAACTAGTAGTGGTCGCACCTCCAACTGCTCCAGTATTCTATCGTTCACTATAGGGATAATATTATTTATTTCAAAAATGGCAAGTATGTATGATACAATGTATGAACATATGGTATGGCTCTCATAGTCGCTGTAGTGGTTCAGGAAAGATTGATGGGAAGAAGTGGTCAGTAAATTCCCGTTTGAAGTTTGGGCCAAGTGAGTCGACAATGGAAGATATGTGCGGAGTCAATTCGGGCCGGTGTTGACAATACACTGTTACTATCGAATGTTCCATATATTCGCTTGCTGACCTACTAAGTAGAGTACCCATCTATGTGGTACGTATCGGGTCTGCGCCGTGTAGTGCCGCGGAATGGGTTAGTGTAAAGTAC